TCTTTCCCTTTAAAACACAAAGCCCTTCCCCTAGTTTGAATCTTCTTGTGTAATGTAAAAGACATTTTAATAACACACTGAACTTGTAGAACATCCGGAATACATGCATGACTGAGTCTATGTTTTACACACCAGTGGTGGGATGTATCTAAATACGTTTACTCAAGTGCACAAGTACAATTTGGAGCTACAAAGTACTTGTGCTTACCAACCCAACAGTATATAAAATAGTAATGCTGCTTAGACATTAGTAAAAATGATCCAGTGATATGAAAGATATTAGCATAACACTCGTGTCCCATTTTTTGCATTGAGCACTTTAACGTTTGCTAATAATTTTGTGTATTTAAATAGGATTATTTTCAATGCAGATTTGCTCTGCAACAATCTAATTAAGGGTCAAAAGAGAAGCATATAGATAATGGATGGATGGATGAATTTGATTATTCACAAACGATAAGTTATACATAAACATTAGTTTAAAATGAAATGTATATAAAATATAGTAATACTACATTATTGTATGATCAGGGGCCACCTGCTATGCCTTCGTGGACCACCAGGGGCCTGCGGACCACTGGTTGAAACCCCTGCCATATACCAATGGGTATGTAAACAGACTCATTATACTGTCTATGCATTTTAAACTCACCGAAACAGATGAAGCAATGCAGGAGAAAGAAGCCTTTGCAGTCTTTGAACACCAGCTCCATGAATATTCATCTCATCCTGAGTTAATTCTGGATTCACACAGATGACCTCTGACTGTTCAACGTACAAGTCAGAGGTGTAAAAAACTGTCAGGTTACATTAGACTGAAAGGACCCCATCTGCACAACTCCATTAAACAGCTGCACACACCAGCAAAGAAACCAGAGCAGAGCAGTAACAGCCTGAGGGCATAAAGAGCCGAGGAGGCTGAAATGTTTCATCTTATTTCTTCTCGGCTAGAAGAAACATCACAACGGGCCACGGCATGAGCTCATCCAGCCCCACCTAACAACAATCCTGTGTGTGTGTGTGTGTGTGTGTGAGGCATCCACACAGCTGGGCCCACCATCAAAACACCAGGAATTAGCAATGCCAAGTTTTCACTCATCAGCATCGAGTAATGTGATCCAGAGACAGAGGGGGAGAAGAAAAATGAGAACGATTCTCAAAAAAATAAGCTGTACTGTGGTGCATCATTAATCTGTGATGATGGTGATATGTATACTCCTCAATAGGGACACAGTTTACTGTTGCTGCTTTGAAGTGCACAATGAAGAGTTCACACTCCCTGGATGCTGAAAACCTATTAATGTGACAGTTGTTGCCTAAATTTTACCAGTTACCTTCTAGAATAATGAAAGTGCAACACCAGTCAAAAAACAGACATAAATGAAAGCTACATGTCGACTACTAATAACGTTAAAGTCCTGTGAGATTAATTTTTTATCAAACAAATCGGTCATTTGTGTAAAAAGAGCCTCTGTTGCTCCTCAGTTCATCACCACAGTGTAACTGCACTTTAAACATCAAAAGCTGCAGAGCAGAGACTTTCTACACTGTCTGCTGTCTCTCTGAAGCTTTGTACTGGGAGCTTAATCTCATTATACATGTAAGCCGTCTATTCCGTCGCCTCCATCCCATCATGGTGAGAGCTGTCAGCCAGTGAAATCTGCCCTGTATCCAGCTTGTGTGTACAGAGAGGGAAGGTCACAGAGGACAGAGCCACACCTGGCTCAAGGCTGGGAGATATTTGTCTTCATTCGTATGGACAGGGCCACTGCTGTAGCGGTGCTGCTGTCGCTGTTATCTACGGGAAAGGCAGAGATGCCCCAAAGCAGGGAGGGAGAGGCCTCCACATCTCCAGGCATAGACCAGCCATGGTGAGGTGTCGGTGCTGGCTGTGGCAGCTCTGCTGAGAACACTACACACTCTGAGGTCTGTGGGCATTCTTTTCAGTCTCTGGACCTGGCAACCCAGCCCTTAACTGGCTCTGTAAAGTCAAGATTACTGGGTGCAGAGAGGAAATGATGGCTGCATGTGAAGTTTCCAGCAGGGCCAGTTGACCACTCGTGTTAACAATCCTTCTCCTGAGACTCACAGACAGACAACGCTCCACACTCCCATGTCGCCAGTGGAAAAAAAAACAGCAGAAAGTGGGAGATTTTCCAAAGTTAAATATATGTGGTGGGAACTAGGTCAGCGCATTAACAAAAACCAACACATTAAGCACAACAAGCTGAAACAAAACAAACAAACAAAATAAGTTGTATTTTCTTGAAACTGACAAATTAAACAAGAAGGAACTGAAAACTCCTTCATCAAGAGGTGACCCACCAATGTTTTATATTGTTAGGTATTTTTAGTCAGATAGAAATTGGATAGACACTTTATGTATTAGAAATGTTTAGTGGAGATAGGATGTCTAGTTAGACTGTTAAATGCTTAGTCATGCTTATGAGTTTCTACAGGGTACATCTGGTCAAGGATAACTAGAGAGAAGAGTTGATGACTGTCAGCAGACAGGGTGTTTAATATTATTATTATGACGTGTATAACTGTAGCCTTAGCCATAATATGTTCTTATGTTTAATGTCATGACATGTTACTAGAGGTCGTGAGAATGTTTTTAGCTACACACCACTTAACCAACAGATACACACACATTGATTTACTTCATGTTTTGACTACTGCTATGACCAGCTGCAAAGCTGGTAACAGAGACGTCTCGGTTGACGTTTCTGTGTAGTATGGGGCTAGCCCAACTGAGGGGATATAATGTATAGGCCTGGTGGGTTCAGGGTCTTTCATCTTTCATCTGCCTGCGTGCAGGTTGGAGGTGCAAGATACCTGAGCGTGTAATGTTAATTTTACCTGTGTTCATTGAATAAATCAGCACTGTTTTGTAGTTACTTGGACTGCCTCGTCTCTCAGAGTCCATATGGTAAAAAGTACCGGGTACAACAATATGTATATCAATTATAACCACTTAATAAGAACAACCACTGGGTTGCCAGGTTGTGAAACATTTCTTTGACTGTTGAGTCATTGTTTGTGTTTTGGCTTATTTTTTCTTAATAAAGCCATGAAGTCACTAATAAAGAGAAACAACAGTTATGTTAAGTAATCGGGGTCATTATCTTCTATAAATCCAGAGCAAACACTGTGAAGTTATCTGTAGATGTTAAGGCCTTGTGAATAAAAGTGTCTGAAATATTACATAGTGTTTAGTTGTAAACCTTAATAATCTGTTAATGAATGAATTCTGGCTCAAATGGTCCAGAAGGGCAGAGCTCTAACTCTACAAACACAAAGCAAGGACAAACAACCTAGCCACAAACAAAAGCTGTTCTTATCCCTGGTTTATAACTGATCTATGAAGCTCAATGTATAGCTGCCTTTTTAGAAAACCTAGACTGTGTTCTTGTGATAATCACACTTCTTCTCCAACCAACGTACTTCTTCCACCACTGGTACTGTAGATATGGGCTTTGTATTTTCTGCGAGGGAGCGTGTGCTTCCTGCAGACCGTCACCAGCCTTTTAGTTCAGCCGAGAATCACTGCTGGCATTTCAGACAACTATGCCAAAAAGCGAATCCAGAAAAGTGAAAGACACACACAGAACTTCCAGCATGCACATGCACACACAAACATGCATTTCCTTGCTTTCAAAGAACCCATGATAAAAACACAGAGGTCTGAGTATGAATGACTGAAAAGCCTTTTCCAGAAAGACAAGATGAAAACTACACACAGGACTTAGTGTAAATGAACACACACAAATCCCATAAGCCTCTATGGAACTGTGATAATCCTGGAAACTTATTTAATCGTCTCTTGGCTGTAACCTGTGATCGTCGAGCTCTGCGATGTGCAAGTTCATTCTTGTGTGTGTCTGTGTGCTATGCAAACAAGAGTGTGAAACAGGGGGCAGGAATTTATCTGCGTTCCTGTCCTGGTGTGGAGGGAACACAGCAGAGGTTGACTCGCGCAGGTTTCCCATGCTTCGTCACTGCAGACTAGCAGAGACTGTTAACAATAAATAGCATTAGTGAGTCATTTCTGGATAACTCAAGTCTTTTTACATCAAACCGTGATCCAGATTCCAAGTCACACTCCAGTCAAAACCTTCCGAGGGTCGATTCACACAGGATTCAGTACTGCAAATACCCAACTACTGTTGGCCAGTTACCAGCAAAACAAAGACAAATGCAAAATGAACCAAAAAAACCTAAACCACATCACTACCTACAACTGATTCTTCATCAGTCATTGCATCAGAGCAGATACAGCTTTGTATCAACATATCATTAGTAGTTTGCTTTAAGCAGGCCATACCAGGTGGCTGGAGCTACAGGATACAATCTTATGAACAGGAAAGTACACTAACCTGAGGCTACAGATGATGCCAAACAGTGCTGCTTACTTTTGTGTCCTGTATTTCAAACCCCACCCATCAACCACACACACACAAATCACAAGCAAATATTTGCAAACACAAACACTTTCCCTCTGGTGTTTCTCTAATGTCAAGATGGAAAGAAAAGTGGCAGCTGGAAGCGACAACAGACCTGCTGGCAGTTGGGTGGGGCCGACTGGTTACCACAGAGTGCAGTGTTAGCACAAGGTTAGGCAGAAAGAAACGATATCCACACAAAAGGAGCCTGATGGAGGAAATGAAATGTCAGGTAACCACCAAAGTGATTAAAATTCTTCCCTTAGGGGGGCAAGAGTATCCAAAGCAAATGTTGTGCCAATCCACCAAGTAGATGCTAAGATATTTCAGTTCAATGTACAAATGTTAATTCTGTGATGCAGCCAGAGGTAAAATCAGGGGACCACTGAAGTCAGAATCAGAATCAGTTTTATTGTCCAGGTGTGATGGACACACGAGGAATTTGACTCTGGTTCATCGGCTCTAAATGTGCAAACAGTAAACCAGCATAAGGCTGTGTAATATAACAAAATAAGAAGTATTAACAGCAACATTGACAGCAACAAACAGGGCAAACAATGCAGAATAAGCAGTATAAACAGACAGTAAACAATGCAGACAAGAAAGGAATGTTCGTTGAAATGAGATAAATAGGGATAAGGGATAAAAACAGAGTACTTAAACTAGAGACTGTACGAGTCTGTATAATCTGTACAGTGTATATTTACAGGTATTGCACTGAGGGTTATTGTCCAATCATGCTGTCGTGGGTTAAGTGTTCATCAGAGTGACAGCCTGGGTGAAGAAACTGTCCCTGTGCCTGGTTGTCTTGGTGCACAGTGACCTGTAACGCCGTCCAGAGGGGAGGACTTCAAACAGATTGTGTCCAGGCTGTGAGGGGTCAGCAGTGATCCTCTCCGCCCTCCTTTTGACCCGTGAGGTGTACAGGTCCTCCATGGAGGGCAGGCTCACACTAATGACCTTTTCTACAGTCCTGACTGTCCTCTGAAGTCTGTACTTGTCCTGTTTGGTTGCTGAGCCAAACCAGA